TCCCTTTTCTTCTTTTAAATGGTTAACATCACAGAAACGCTTTGCTGATACTGAAGTTGCTGAAGTCAAAGTAGTGATGGCAGTGTAAAAGAGCTGAAAATATATGAGTCAGTGGTGCCACCTTCCCCTCTGAGAGCAGGGTTACTCTGCAGTGCTTTTGGCCTCTCTTAAGGAGGGAACAGGCAAATAAATGCTGAGGGGGTGGCTGGACAGCAGAACTGCTGCTGCTCTGGGTGAATTTCGACACTTAATTTCTTAGCAGTATGGGCTGTTCACGTTTCGGGTCTTCATGCTGCAGCGATTCACAGAGACTCATTCACCTCCTCACTCCCCAAGTGGCTTTGGGCCATTTCAAAATTATCTTCTCGTACATGCAAAGGAGAGATCTCGTCAATACAAAGCAGTGCCCTGAAACAGCACTGTCCTGGGTGTCGGTTAGGTAATGGTCAGGCTGTGGTACCGTATCACATGTCTTGCAGGGGCAGTTATTTCTGCTTCTGTTCCTCTTGGGTACTTATTATTCAAGGGGAAATCAGCTGTCCTGCCTTAGTCACTGCTGGTTTTGGATCCTGGGCTAGCCGACTGGTTTGCTGCTGATACAATGCTGCAGCAGAATTGTCCATTCTTAGTATGATCGCAGCTCTGCTGCCAGTGACACTCCTCAAAAGAGCTTTGTTTGTCCTGTTGTCCTGCGGGTGTAACAAATGACCCACTTTTCACTCTGAGGAGCTGCTCCACAGCTGCACCATCAGGGAGACTCATGCTCCACATGCAGTACTGAGCTCCAGGAAAGGTCTGCTACTGCAGACACTGCAAGAGAGCATTAGCAGGAAGGTCTGAGTGCTGCTAGCAGCGAGTTACCCTCCTGCAGTACATGGAGCACTTGTTCTTGTACTGGCTGAGAATGGTGACCAGGTTGTCAGACTTCCCCAGAATAAATTGCAGCCGGTGACTGCAGAGCTGTGAAGCACATGGTCAGATAAACAAGATTTAACTGGGAAGCATGAATCCCTGGCAGGCTGCTGACTCAGAGTTCCTCGTTGTTCGATTCCTTGTGCACCTAACCCATTACTTGCCACTGTGCCTCATGTGGTTTGCGTAGAGAAACCCTGAGCGTGGTGATGTGGATGCTTGATTTTTCTGTTACGTGTAGCGAGCAACAGTGGGATCAGTTGTGGCAACAGCAGCTCCAGTCGCTGTTCGTTTCTTAGCTGTTCAATAAATTTAAGACATTCCATTAAGTAGATAGCTGTGGAGGGTATCTTTTAGATGTTGTACATTGATGACGTGTGTATTTAAAATTCAGAAGTGAATCCACTTGAATGAGTCATCCTAGGCAGGTGGAGGAGACAGTACTGTTATATTTTTGGTTACAAACTGGAGTTAGCTACATGTTTCACGTTTACTCTGGAGGCCAGTTCGTGTGGGCCTGCTTTTTGAATGGCCCGTGTGGTTGAGAGCACCTGCCCTTCACCAGGAGGGCTGACAGGTAATTGCGCCCAGTCAGTCTGGAGGGGTGGGCTGGCAGGTTCACCAGCTTGGCTGTCTTGTCTGGTAATGCAGAAATTCTTGCAAACACATGCCTCCATGAATGAGCTAGTGCTGTGGCATGAACTCAGGACTGCCTAGTAGCAAACTCACACTTAAGAGCTGTGCTGGGTTAAAAAACGAAGCAAAGCAAACCCCCAAAAGTATGGGTTTGGTGGTGCACATACTAAGTCTGATGGATTTAAAGCAGGTTTAAGACTTGTTTACCTTAATCTAGTCCATTAAGCTAATGGACAGGCACATGAGGTGGAAACATCCTGACAGTGGTAACTACAGCCCCTCCCATATGCTGTAACCTTCCCCTGTATCTAAAAGCATTTTGTTGGCTCCTGTCACGCTCTGCATTATCTGTGTTACCACTCCAGTGGGACCAGAGCACCAAACCCAGCCATCCAGGGAATTATGCCATGAATTGTAGCGTGTTACAGGTCCCGAGAGTATCTTTCCCATAAAATATCTTATTCTGGCTGAAACCAAACATCAGAAATTCACATCTGAGTAAGTGGGCAATGATTTTGCTAATCCCTCTTTAGCAAAACCATGTCTACTCAAGAAGGAAAGTCTCGTGTTAGGGTCTGCTCACTGAGGAATAGGGTGCCAGCCTTAGGTGAACATGCCTGAAGGAATTGCTCCAGGCCTCATTTCATGTCAGCGGATCCATAGGTGTCTGCAGCAAAATTCTTCTGTGTGGCCGTTCAGGCTCCACTGCCCCCCTTGCTGTCCCAATCAGCGGTACACAAAGCTGTCTTAATGAGAGGGAAAGCCAGAGAGCAGTTGTCTTAGTTCTTAAACCCGTGCATGTTAAGATTTAAGGGGTAGTGATTGAATGCTACAGTCATTTTATTACGAAGACACTGTCCCAGGAAGGGTAGATAACATCTAAAGCACTAGGAAGATGGCAAGGAAGAAAAGAAAATGAAGATGTTCTGCTCAGTTTTCTTGCGGTTTTCCCCTCAGGCCCTTCAGCAGGGCAAACGTTACCACTGGCTTACTAACAGCGGTGGGGAGTACACCTTGACGGCAGCAGGGCAGTGCATTAAGGTATTTTCTCATCTTTAGATGAAAAGCCCAGCTTTTGGATTCAGGAAAAAAAAAAAGTATTCATCCTGCTAAGTAGATTGAAAGAGAATCCAGATTAAATAAATCATTAAATCATTCCAGAATGTTATCCACCTGTTCTGGCCTGTAATTTATTTTCAGATGAACGGTAGGTTAAAAAAAAAAAAAAAAGCATTACAGTGGCAGAAATTATTTTCCCCTACCAGATGCTTTGATCCTGAAATGACACCTGGCCTGGAGAGCTGCTTGTGCAGCTTTTGAGATCATTTTGAACTAACTGCTCCAATCCATTGCTCCATAACCTTGATAGACACATAATGCTAAAACTTCTGCTGTAGCTACCTTTGAAGAGGCATCTCCAAGGGTTTTGCTGCCACAGGGCCAGTAAAAATCATCCCTTTAACGTGGGATGGGAAACCTGTAGTGGGACAGGACATGTTTGAGGGGACAGTCAAGTACCAGCCAGCTGGGAGTGAGGGGTCCGAGACCATTTCAGTGTCAGGACCACTCTCCTCATGTGCTGGTGTGGGAATAAAGGAAGGTTTCCTCTCTCCTGTGTTCCTGAAAGGCGTGTTGTGCTTCAGAAGGCTGGGAAATGCCGCTCCGGGTGGTTGCTTCTGTTGCCCAGACCTTCTCATGACTCCTGAACGGTTCCCTGTGCTCACTAGGAAAGCATCAGCACGTTTGTGCCGCCTGTGTTGGCTGGGGATGGGAGGGAGGTGAAGTGCTGGGAGCAGGTGACCGAGGACCAGAGATGGAGGACAGCACCGGTGCTGGGAGCGTGGGGAAGCGGGTGAAAGGTGCTTGTTGTCCAGCTCTTCCACACCTCCACTCTGCCCAGCTGCAGCTGAAAGGCAGCCACAGCCCGAGGCCCCCGTTTCGTGTCTCTCCGGTGTACATTTCAACAGATTTAGCCAGCTCGGTGGTCAGTTTTCAAATGAATTCTCCCATTTGCTGAATGCAACAACGTTAAAGCTGGACTCCGTTGCAGCGGCCCGTCGGGGGGGGGGGAGGAAGAGGGGCAGAAACCCCTCAGCCGAAAGTGTGCGGGTGTTGAAAAGCTGGCTGGGGGTGCTCGTTATCTCTGCCCTCCGCCTTCCTTCCGGGGCTGCTTCGCTCGTCCGTAAATCAGGCTGATAAACTCTGGCTCCGGGAGGCCGGCCCGTCTCTGCCTTTACCTGGGGGCCGGGCACCGGGGCCGCT